TATTATTATTATTATTATTATTATTATTATTATTATTATTTATATGCATAATATAAGAATTGCATTGGGGAAATTTCTGTCCCTGCAGGCAGCTCAGAAACATTTTTAAAAAAGGAAAAACTTCTGCTACTTGCTTAATGTTATGGGAAAGCCGTCCCTTTTACCATGCCAGGAGCTGGAGAAAATCAAATAAACTTCTTTCTTTCTTTCTTTCTTTCTTTCTTTCTTTCTTTCTTTCTTTCTTTCTTTCTTTCTTTCTTTCTTTCTTTCTTCTTTCTTTCTGAGAGGTGGGCTTTAAGCCAACCATTATTTGAACCCGAGGGGGCTTCAGACCTGGTTGAAACCTGGGTAGCTTCATCCTCCTTGAAGGACCCTTACCTAAACTTAGCCACAAAGATGCTTTTTTACAATCTCGTCACCTTTTTATCTACTCGTTCCTCTTTTTTTTTTTTTTTCTTTCTTTCAAGGCCTGGAAACTGACCGGGCTCAGGTCAGTTTGAATGGATCTTTTGCTTCTACGGCTGTTGCCAAACAACCTTTTCTTTCTGTCTTTGTTTTCTGTTGGGAAATTGAGTCTAACTAATAATAAGTCCCGGTTGAAATGGCTAACAACTGTCTTTGGACCGGTCTGTTTCTCCAGCCCTAAGAAGGAATCCGAAGTTGTCCTAGTCAGTTTCACTGCCTCTCCTTCCTCCCGTCCTGCCTGGGAGTTTCCTTTCTTTTGAAAGCTTGATCCGTTGGGAAGCCAAGCGGAGAAGCAGGCAGGGCTGGCGAAATCCTCACCCTTCCAGAAGCTTCCTCGCGTTGCCATTTTATTTCTTGCCAATATGAATTGCACGCAGGGCCCCGATGATGGGTGCAGGGGAAGGAGTCGCGTGTAGTCCTCGACATAGGACCGTCAGCGAGCCCCAGATTTCTGTCGCTGGGTGAGAACACCCCTCAAGCAAAATTTTGCCTCCTTTTTACGACCTTCCTTGCCTCTGTCATTAAGCGAACACCCCACCATTGTTAAGTTAGTAACACCGTCATTAAGCGAATGCAGCTTCCTCGTGATACCCCACACACACACCATAAATACGAGTCAGTTACCCAGACCGTCTGAATTTTGACCACCTGACCCTGGGGCTGCCACGACGGTCATAAGTGTGAGAAATCCTAGGTCCCTTTTTTTCAGTGCCGTCATAAGTTTGAATTTGCTAGCATGGGGCCTGATTTTCCTCAATATTCCTCCCTCGCTCCCTTCTTTCTCTCCCTCCAATTCTTCCTTCCTTCCTGCAACTTCTACCCACCAGCTCGTCACCTTTTTATCTACTCGTTCCTCTTTTTTTTCCCCCCTTCTTTCAAGGCCTGGAAACTGACCGGACTCAGGTCAGTTTGAATGGATCTTTTGCTTCTACGGCTGTTGCCAAACAACCTTTTCTTTCTGTCTTTGTTTTCTGTTGGGAAAAAAGCCCAGGGGGAAAAAAAAATCGGATTTTCTTCCTTTGAAGCCACCGCTGGCCTGATTGCAGGTGCAAAGAACTCTTGGGATGCTCAGAGAATCTGAAGCGGGACAGAAAGGATGAGGAAATGGGGCTTAGCTGAGTGTTTCTGGGAGGGTTAAAACCGGTCCCAGAATCCCCTCTGCTCCAGCAGGGCCAATCAAGGAAGGCTGGGGGAGGAGTTATGCAAATCAGGCCCCTTGCTAGCAAAATTCCCACGGGATCCCTGAGTGGTCTCCTTTCCCAGCCTGGTATGGAAGGGATGCCTGATAAACCTTGGCGATTGGCTTGCTCACCTTGGACAACAATAGTACCCATCATCCCCGGATCATTCTAGGGATTTGTGAGGTGTGTGTGTGTGTGTTTGAGGCCCTCCGTAATGGGACAAGCTGCCGGTTCTGGGTGCAAGACGAGATTGGTGAAGCACCCCGGCGGGGTTTGGGCGTTTGGGCCTCCTGGCACGTAGGGCACCCCGTGCTTACATAATCTCCTTCCACCGGTCTGGGTGTGTGCGGAGTTGCGAGCCAGCTCGGGCGGGGCCTGGAGTCTCTTCCAGGGCAGGAGTGGTGTGCGGCGGTGTGTGGTGCGTCTCGACGTGACGCGTGTGTTGCACGGTGGGTAGACAGCAAATCTGGGGACGGAGGCGTTGCGCGCGCCTTCGAGACGCGGCCTGGCATCGCTTACCGACTCGCCTGGGTAGGTAGCATTGCCACTCTCTGGACCTCCTTGGCTCAACCCCCCAGCCCCGTCCCTCCTTCCCCGTCGCTGGTCCTCCCCACACAACCCTGCGAGGTAGGACAGCCCAGGGAAGGCAATGAGATGCCAACGGGCTTCCTTGGCATCGACGCAAACCCACTCCTCGCTTTGCGCACGCCAAGCTAAGGGGAGCAGAGCCCGGGCGCATGAATCAGCCAAGATCTTCTAATCCGTGGTGACTCGGGGTTGTTTGGTGTGTCTTTGGAACTCCTTGCCACTAGATGCCTCTGCTTAAGCGAGCTCTTGGAGAGGGCTGGCTTTGCGTTTAGCGGGGTTGGTCTAGATGTTCTCTCGAATCCAGGCGGGGTCTTCAAACTGGGCCACTGTGGACTTCCAACGCCCAGAATTCTCTCCCCCCCACCCCCCAGCCTTTTCAGAAGCGGTCAAGAAAAGTGGAATCGCTTTTCCAAGAGTCGCCCATTGGCTGGCTGGCTGTGATGTCACGGAAGGATTCGACCAATCAGGGGGGCAGATCAGCAGGAAGTCCAGACCAAGCAGAGATCCAATATGATTTAAAAGGGGAGCGTGCAAATTAAATAAGGGATATTACTTTTAATTTTTTACCTCTCTGTTTTTCTAAGTTTTCTGCCCCATCGGAAAAAAATCTCCCATTTCTCTGGGGGGAAAAAAAATCAAGCAATTTTTTTTAAAAAACCACCAACTCCCCCAAAATCCCCCCCCCCCCGCCCCCCAACTGCAGGAAAGCCCCCAATTTTCTTAATCCAGTTTGAATCCGGTTTGAAAAAACCATCCCTGAACCAAGGATGAAAGTTTCCGAAAGGGGATTTGGAGCGCCTGATTTAATCATCATGGCTTGGAGGAATGGGGTTGGCATGCTCGGCTAGGCTCAGGGTGGCCTGGCACTCTGCGCATGGGCAGAGGCACCCCGGCTGAGCATCGGAGGTTCAAGTGCTCCACATCACGGAGGGGGGATCCTTTTTTTCACAGCTTTCGGACTGGCCACCCCATGCCGAGCCAGAGGGCCAAAAAATACCCCTTTAAAAGGGGCCAGGAGCCCAAATATCTATGTCTTTGTCTCTCTTTTTCTTTCTCTCTTTCTGTCTTTTCCTTTCTTTCCTTTCTCTCTCTCTCTCTTTCACTCTCTCTCTCTCTCTCCCCCTCTTTCTCTTTTTCTTTTTCTTTCTCTCTCTCTTTTTCTTTCTCTCTCTCGCACTCTTTCTCTCTCTCATTCTTTTTCATTCTCTCTTTCTCTCTCGTTCACTGTCTTTTTCTTTCTCTTCTTTCTCTCACTCTCTGTCTTTTTTCTCTCTTTTTCTTTCTCTCTGTCTTTTCCTTTCTTTCCTCTTTCTCTCTCTCTTTCACTCTCTTTCTCTCTGTCTCTCTCATTTTCTCTCTCACTCTCTCTTTTTCTTTCTCTCTCTTGCACTCTCTCTCTCTCATTCTCTTTTTCATTCTCTCTTTCTCTCTCTGTCTTTTTCTTTCTCTTCTTTCTCTCACTCTCTCATTTTCTCTCTCACTCTCTCTTTCTTTCTCTCACTCTCTTTTTCTTTCTCTTTCTCTCTTTCTCCCTCTTTTTCTTCCTCCTCTTTTTCTCACCCTCTCTTTCTCTTTCTCTCTCATTCTCTTTTTCTTTTACTCTCTCTCTCTCTCTATCCCATTCTCTCTTTCTCTCTCTCTCTCTCTCTCTCTCTCTCTCTCTCTCTCTCTCTCTCTCTCTCTCTCTCAGTTTTGACTTTTACAGCCTGGAGAAGAAGCTTTGCAGCTGGCTGGCGTTGGCTCCGCGCCCCGGGACTGGCTCCCTGCCAGGACCTGGTAAGGGAGTTATGTAAGTGCCGAGTTCAAGTGAGGACGGGCTGAAGGCAGCTCAGCCACCCCAAGCCGATTTCCCCAGCAAAGAAAAACTCTTGGAAGGAGAGGATTCGGGGTTTCGGGGGGGGGGGGAAACGGGGGGGGGGGGGCGGTCCCCCCCCCCTCCTCCTCCTCCTCCTCCTGGGCTGTTTTTTTCCAGCCACGCTTTTTCCTCCAGGCCTTTGCCAGCTCCTAGGAAGCTTTTGGGTGGGTGGGTGGGGGCTTTGAAAGGGGGTCCCCAAGAACTAACCTCGGCCCCCCCTTGCCTCTTCCACACCCACCCACCAAACACACACACACACACACACACACACACACTGGTTGCTTGCAATGAGCCATGGCTGCAACCGGTACTACGTTTCCCATCGCCTCTTCCCCGGCTGTGCTCTCTCTTTGGATCTGAAGGACTGGGCCAGGTGGGGGTGTGGGGGCACCTGGAGAAACCTCCAGAAGACCACCCACCCCCTTTGGGCAAGAGGAGGAGACACACCTAGTTGTCGAATGGGCCAATCCAAAGAAGTTTTTTTTTTTTAAGTTTGCAAGGAGCTGGTTTGGTTGTGGAGAAAGGCTGCGTCGCTGAGGATGGGGTGAATTGCTTGGTATGTTTTCTTTTTTTTTCTTCCTTCCTTTTCTCCTTTCCCTCCTTCCTTTCCTCTCCTTTCCTTCCTCTCTTTCACTTTTCCTCCCTTCCTCCTCCCCTTCCTTTGTCCTTTCTCCCTCCTTTCCTGCCCCCCTTCCTTTTTCTTCTCTTCCTTCCTGCTCTCCTTCCTTTTTTCCTCCCTCTTTTCTTTCCTTTTTCCTCCCTCCCTCCTTCTCTTCCTTAATCTTTCCTCTGCCTGCCTCCCTCCCTCCCTATCTATTCTTTCTTCTAATCTGTATCTCTATCCTGTCTGTCTGTTTATCATCTATCTACCTTATTTTTCTTCTAATTTCTTTTTTTCTATCCTGTCTACCTATTTACCTATCTGCCTGCCTGCGAATCATATCTATTTATCTATCTATCTATCTATCTATCTATCTATCTATCTATCTATCTATC